AACTGTGCATTAACTTTTGTAAATACTCCATTTTGGGGGAAAATCATCAAGCAATACAAAATTAGCACACATGGTGAATTCTAATAGCAGAATATAGTATCTGAGAACTTTCTCTTAAAACTCCCCAATGTTAAACCAAGCAACTGACTAGTGTCCAAGAAACCTGGGTTTAAAAAAAAAATGTTATTAAAAAATAATTACTGACCTTTTATTCTTTCCTCTTCTCTCTTTTTTCTTTAGTTCTTGTAGTAAAGTATACAAGTATTTGGCATACTTAACATCTTTTTTCCCCCAACCCCAAAAACCATACATTAATCAACTACACATTTCATTATTTTCCTAGGAACAACACACAGCAACGCCCAGTGCCGACAGTGGGCACCTGGGCCAGCACCACGGTCATGCATCAAGAACCTCGCCAGGAGGCCATGCCTGGTGGTCCACTTGGACTCCACACACTGCTCCTCACAGTTCAGGTAGGAATGTTTGTCTCTCTTAAAAACAAAACAAAACAAAACAAAAAAAACACCAAACTGTTTAATCTTCATACATTAAACTGTCAAAAATGCTCTGAAAGCCATGAATTTACAGATGTTGAAACTACTGTATCATTTATAAAAATGTCCCCCTCATGTCAAAAATCTATTGAGAAAACAAGTAAATAGAAGCTATTGTATATAACCTCGTATTTTATCATTACACTTTTAGGATGCGGGAAAGCAACTAAGATTTAGGGAAAAAAAAACAAAAAAAAACAAAAATAAAAAAACAGAAGAACCCAAACCAGAGAATACTAGCTATACCCATACAGAAACTGACTGCAAAAGGCTACAGTAATTCCCTCTAGACTTTACCAACCTATTTATTAAGACATTTACATTTATTAATGTGCCTTGCACAAGATACTACTTAAATATTTCACATCTCCTATCTTCAGACTGTTATATTTAAACAATACTGTTTTGCATTACTAACTCCAGCCTCTATAAGCCCAATAATTCATGCCAAATGACATAATTTTGTAATTTCTAACATATATTACTCCACAAATATACTTCTTGGTGAAAAGATGACAATGGCTTCCTTTCTGAAAGTTCACTGTGTGGTATCAGGATAATCACGAAGTATTTATTGGGCACCTACTATGACTGCACTCAGTCCACACTCACTCTTTAACCAATAAGGAAAAACACGAATACAACATGACACTTGTGAAGGATCACTTGTGAGCATTTCCAGTCAAATGCTATTTGAGTCAACATTCGGACAGACATAATTATACATCTCTATGCCCAAAAACGTCCTCCAATTTATTATCTATCACCTTATACAAATGAATAAACAATCTAGAGTGTGATGCACAGTGCATTGAGGAAAGCGACTGCCATACATAAAATTAGGACAGATTCCTTAAAGATATGAAAGAAAAGCCAGAATGTCATGGTTTATAAACCACCCAAAGACTTAACAGTTCACACAAATATCTGGTTAATTTAGGAAAATGGGTACTTGTATTACGGTTTCCAACTTTGCTGGAGGGAGTTGTTCTAATAAAGTGCCTTGGGAGCACTTTAAGTAAATACAACGATTAAAATCTTTTGACTAAAACTGTAAACTACCATACACAAGCTCCAAATTTCATCTAATTGTGTATATACACATTGTGTATAAACACACACACACACACACCTTTTAAGTATCCAAATTTCACTTACAATTTTGTACATCTGTATATCTATGCATTTGAACCTGTTTATATATTTTAAGCAAAATGGTCTATTTCTCTTGAAGCTAAGAACATGGACGAAGGTCATAAGACAGAGATGAGTTAGTTTTACTTTCTAATTTTTATCAATTTTGAATTGTTTTCTACAATACACAAAGCATTATAAGATCTGTTAAGTATATACAGGATCTGCATACAAATCATTCTCAGAGAAACTGAAGTCTTTGGAAGCAAAATAGTTGTAAATTTGAAAACAGTAATAGGTCCTCAACAAGATTTCCAAAATTGGCAATGCTGTCAATTAAAACAATACAATCAACTCTACCAAACATGGAACTACAATACAAAATTTATCTCCACAGAAGATGCATGTAAGAGAATGTTTTTTAACAGAGCCCTAGGGACCTAAGTAGTGAGACGAACGAGGCAGCCACGGAGCTACTGCACTGGTAGTAGTTTATAAAAAATACTGCCTATTCTAAAATTTTAAGAGCTAGTAATATATTTAGCATATTTCTGCCTTTTCTTTTTTGCCATGAATATAAAATTTTGTCCTAAATTTACTAAATCTTCTACACCCTGAGGAATAACAAGACTAATAAAAGAAATGCCAGGGTTATTAGCTTGGCAGGTCATATTACTGTCTAGAAAGCACGAATTATATGTAGCTAATATCCTTGGAAGCACAAGGTTCATCAGCAGACTAAGCTGCCGACCAATGTTTTCTTTTAGTAGAGCTGGGTTTTACAGTGTTAACATGGCCTGGAGAGCAGAGAGGTCAAAGTTGGGAGCCTGAGAATTCCCTTCCAATCTCATATCCACAAGTGAAATACTGGTTTTCTCTTTCCACTATGAACAAGACCCCTGCTGCCCTTTAAAAATATATTATTCAACAGTTCTCTGTAAAGCACTTTGAGATCTTTAGCTACATGTATTTTTTTACAAAACTGCAATTATTTACTATCTTGAAATAAGGAATTACTACCACCTCCTCTCCATACACAAATAGATAAAACGACACATTGTAAATTTCATCGTTATTTACTTTTCCTCCAGTATCTGAAAGAGCACAACCTCCCCACCTCCCCACCCCCTGCCCTGCCTGACCTTTTCTCCCTTCCAACTACCTTACCTGAGACCCGATTTTAGAAGGGAACAAAGGGCCTTTTAAGTGAGACAACAATCAGGCCTTAATTTTAGGGGAGAGTGCTACTGTTTCCCTTTGAACAGAGGATGCACTGGTTTCAGGGTCATCTTTAATTGTGCATATACTACCTTCTCACTGTGATGCCTCCAACCCCAAAATGTCAGCTGTCAGAGAGAAAGAACTAATTTTCAATATGGTACTTTTAAATGATAACTAATGAAACACAAACTGAAGCATTCTACCTGCTTCTATCCCTTTGTCACTGACGGTTAAAATGCCCCAATGGGAGCTATCTCTTGCAATAGGAATAAAAAAAAAATAAAAGAATCATAATGAACTATTTGACAAAATTTCCATCCTCTGTAGTCTAAACATTAGACTTAATATACTCTTACTCATGCAAACGCTAGGAAAGGCACTCGAATTAACAGAGTTATGTACAGCTATTTTTTAAAAGACACTCTGTGATGGTAAATAGGACTACTGGGGTTGGTTTTTCTTCTCACTGCCCTCATGACACTGAATTTGCTTAAACTTTCTGGTACCTCCAAACTATTCTCCACTGAATAGGAGCCCATCACAGAGCACACTTCAATGTAGAGGGGTGGGAGCACCTAAGACGCTAGGGTTTGCACAGTTGTACTTGAAAAATTCATTCAAAAGACGAAGTTCAGTTATTACAATGTTGTTCAAATTTTCTGGCATACTTTAAATATCTTAGAAGTTTTAAAATATATTTTCTAGTAACAAAATAACAGTAAGCTTAAAACAGCTTTTGAAGAAGAAAAAACATGTTATTGCCTTTTTAAACTAAATATTTAGCATCTTCTATAATTCAGGGGAACTAAGGTAGAGATACATTGTTACATAGCAAGTGGCAGCTGCGTGCCTAAATTTCATTTAGCCCGTGTCAGATACCATCTTGTGCTATATAACAGAAAATTATAATACTGTCAATTTGTTTGCAATAATATTCAAAGTTCTCTGTACACACACACACACACACACACACACACACACACACACACACACACACACACACACACACACACACACACACACACACACACACACACACACACACACACACACACACACACACACACACACACACACACACACACACACACACGTGCATATCTGTGGCTAAATAAGCTTTCCTACATACTGCATAAAAAACTCGAAACTCGTTCCTACATTTTCTACCACTTGATAAATCCTTATCTGAAGATTTAAGTGGCTTTCGTGATAACCTGCACACATTTAATCCTACTAACAATTAAAGAAGTCTTTAAATTAGAACCATACCACAGGAATAAGAAATGCGGCTGAAAGTCAAGGCCCACAGTTTCTAAAGAGGTAATAAAATGCTAAAACCTAGAAAAGAAAAAGGGGATACTGATATTAACATGTATCAAATCCTTAAGCTTAAAAAATGACTCAGAGGTTTAAGAGTTACCTAAAAAGGTCCACAAATCAAGTTGGGGGGAAAGAAGAAGCATAAAATGACTATCCGTGCATAGATTCAGGTAAACAAGTCACTGAAATCAAAGAATTCCTTGATGCCCCAAAATGACTCTGGCTCCATATAGATTATCTTCCAACATCATACATGAACAGAAAGTAGTGTTCTTTATACACGTGGACATCATTAGCTCTATGAATTTTTAATATATATTAAAGTACTGTTAATTGATAATTATAGAGCTGCATTTCTGGGCTGGGATTTAACTAGTGTAAACAAGATCATGGAGTGAAGGGGAAAAATCTATATTAACTTATTCTATGAGCCATAGCTCTCCCTAAGCTTTATGAGTCTAGTGTGCATCATTTGTTCACAATCAATCCACTGCACTCATCCATAATTTCTCAGCCATCATTCACTCTATCACGCATGACCAACCTTTCCCTTCTTCAAACAGTTAATCATTCATTAATTTAATGAATATTTAGTGAGTCCGCACAATGTGGAAGGCACACAGTAGAATCTAGAAACACCATGTTACCAAAATAGGCATACTAAAAAAAGAAAGGTGGGGCAAAGGTGGTGGTAGAGACAGTTACAGATCCTACTGCCTTTTGCTAATCAGTAGTGTTCTTCATTCACAAGACAGCACTATGATCTGCTATTCTTCCAGTGAAAGTTTAATGAAATATGTGTCAACCTAAACCATCTTAAGACTAACAAATTCCTGAAAATAGACATATGGTTTCTACTGTATTAGCTCATTAGTCAAAGAGATACATTATGTAACAGCTAGTGAGTTCCAATGTTGACCACTTAAAAAGAAAATACAAACAATACCAAGGTTCTCTGTGGATGAACACTTGAGAAAGGCAAATTTTAGAAATAAAGTAGCAAACAAAAGTCACATACTAATAGTATCCTTTGGATAGCTGTATTTTTACTCCCTACTTAAAACTTTATTAGGAAGACAAGGGACTATGAAACAGGAAAGGAACGCATGGCTTCAGAAAGGGGTGGGGGTTAAGAGCCTTAGAAGACATGAAGACAATTAACCCCAGAGATGGGCAAGATACTCAGGTAGAAAGTATAAAAAGGCATGGAGTACTATAAAAATTTAGATAATGTTTCATACAGTATTGTCTATAATTATGTCCTGACACTTTCTCACTTTCTCTATCAAAGCATAAGACATCCCATTACTCAAGATACTAAAACTGATGCTTGGGGAAATGTCACACTGACCGAGGCCAGAATTTGGCAGTATGTATTATTAGCACAATGGGCTGAACCTCCTATGTCTGCTCTGTGGACACCTGCAACCCCTGCAGGTGCTCAAAACCATAAATTAATGTTTTTCTTCCATAGAGTTCTTGATAGACCTTCAAGTATTTGATTCAAAATATGCTCTGCACACAAAGGGCCATGGAATTATGTTCATAATGACAATTATTTTCATACCTAAATAGCTATGAAATTTCTGCCCCAAGAGAAAAGAGCAACTTGTGCATACTTGAGTCAGTCTCCTGATGATTTTTCTATTTTTAAGTCTTACTCAATTCAACGATCTGCCACTCAACAAAACCATAACTCTCAAGTAAAGGACCTATTTCTTTTCCCTTAAGGCTATACACTTAAGTCCAGGCTTTCCATAATAGTGAGATAGGGAGGTCTGCCTTTTCCTACATCTTCTCCACCCCCAGAGGATTAACTAGCAAGTAAAAAGGAGAACAAGCATGATGGGTATGCTTATTTCTGCCAGTATTACTCACATTCTGCACAAAAGCTGAACAGACGGCTTCTATTAGAGGAACTGTCAGAGAGGCAGCACTTGTCATATCTTGTTCACGTCTGTGGGGGGTGTGTGTGTGTGTTTGTGTGTGTTTTAGTGGGGGTATGAAATTCATAGCATATGGAGAGAGTATCTTAGGTACACATTACCGAAAGACAGATGAGGAAAAATACACATAAGTGAAAGAGATGAAAATATACAAAAGATTGGCAAAATAGAGAATGTGGAGAAAAGAGATAGCAATGATTTACAAAGGGGGAAATACAATAACAAAGTAGACTTTACCAGGCTGTTTCACCACCCCACCTCACTGACCTGAAAAGTTCAGCCCTTATTGATGAAAAGATAAGATACAGCTATAATATGGATACTTTGGTACCTTATCCCTGATAAGTTCAGTATCAAAGTGTTTTGTTCATTTTTAAAATAAACATTGAAGACCTATTCTTCAAAACTACTCTTTCCTCCTGGTTTTTGTCAATAAACTTTTTTAACAGTCGTTTCATAAAACTTTTGCAGTGTATCCTTAATAAGTTAACTTTTTAAAAAGGAAAAATTTTATGGATACATTTTTCTGTGTACATTTCCTCCACTTTTCACAAGTGAATTTGAAAAGAAAAGAACAGTAATAACTAAAAATGGCATTCCAGGTTTTTAGGGGGAAAACCTGATTTCATAAGGGCTGACATTAAGTGTTTTTGGTATGAACCTAAGTTTGAGGTAAAAACAATCTATCAAAAACTAGTAATAAAAATAATTTTCTAGTACTGCAATTACATAAATTCTTAGTTTTTTTTTTTTAAATAACTACTTTAAAAATGGATTACACTGGAAGCATGCTTTTTATGTAAGTTCCAACACGTATGAGTTTGAGTTTGGTTATGGTAGTCTGTAACTTTATAGGAGAACATGCTAGAGAAAGTGAACTAGTTTGTATTTTCAGATATTCATCCATCTAGAAATTTAATTCTCAGAACAATCAGATCAAGTCATTCTGCATTTGTATTAATGTTATTAAGCGGAAATGCAACATAAATTTTTAAATAAAAAATTGTCTATGCTACAACTCCACCAATGTGGGTGGAGGTCTGTATGAACTAATTAGGAGAACTGATGAGAAGCCTCATGTACAAAAATACGAAGGAAGAGAACTTACTTTAAGACTCACTGTTTAGCAAGAACTATTTTTGTCCCCAAAGGAATGCCAGTTCTTACCAAAATAAATAAAATGAAAGATTTACTATAGACTTTTAACATAACAAAGAACATGTAGTTAGCAAGTAACAACAGGTCATGCAACTATGTAAATAAGAAAGGAAAACAATATTGCACTAAGCGGGAACCTTGTAGAACAAATCCACCTTTCACTGACTCAAAGTAGCCAGCCATTTCCTGTATGCGTTGGCAAACCTAGCTTGCTCTACATTCCGGCAGGTGGACAACACTTGATCAATGAACCTGTGCTCCATTTCTAGGCCTACAGAGTCTGGAGCTGGGGTCCGCTTCAGGCGTTTGGTTTCCTGGGAATAGCCTTGCTTGTTACAGTCATTGGATCCATCCACTTCCATCGCGTGAGACAGGTGGGGGCTTGCTGGGATGACATGCAAGTCACTCAAAGTCCCCCTAGGGCTGTCTGCAGGTGACAATGGGGTCATGTTGCAAGGAGACCTACCACTTAAGTGATGCTGAAGGTAGAAAACATGCCGTCTGTGACAGGAGGAAGAGAATAAAGAAAATTATAACACAGAGTATATCTTTTTTATTAAGTTGATAATTTTAAAACATTCAGTACTCAGTTCACTGCACCCTTCCAAACCTAGTTATCTGGGGAAAATGGAGAAAAATCCATTGAAATACAGTCTCTTGGTATTGGACAAAACTTGACAACCTTAGCATACAAAGACTACTATGCTAAAAGTTTTTCAATCAGTATTTACTGAGATACTGACAACTACTTGGAACTGTTATTCTCTAGTAATTATAATATGAAACCAGAAATAGATCTTAGCCCAACTTTAGCTATAAATTAAAATAGCAAAAACAAAAACTAAAAATTAATCTAATTAATATCCTAGAATACAAATGATTGAGAAACAAGGGGATTAAACAGTTTCTCAAGGGGCTTAGTCCATGGCCTCTACCCAATATGTTAATAAAAATAACCAATCTGATGCACTAGTCTTCTTTAAAGACCAACTAAACTTTCTAAATCCATCATTACAGTCTTACACATTCACATGCAGTGGGGAAATGCTAGGCTTGTAGTAAAGCATCTTAGAAGATAAAGTTCCAGAACCAGCAGTTAGCATAATGGCTATGTTGCTGGACTTCTGTGTAGCTGACAGTGTTTTGAGTCCTGGACCCAGCAGCTTAAACTCACACCAGGTGCGTGTGTGTGCGTGCCCAAGATCCTGAGAGGACAATGGAGGAGAAGAAATTGTGGCGAGGCCATCCCCCCTGGGAGGTGATTTCTTGCTTTCTGTCTCTCTGTCTCTCCCTGTTTTTCTGCTGAGCATATGCACCCTATTGCAAAAACCTCTCCCCCCAAAAAAACAAACAAACAAACAAACAAAAAACACAAGAGATGCAGTTCCTATTTTCCCTCTAATGAAAACAGTTTTCTTGCCCTTCAAATTGCCTGAAATTGTTTCTTAAAAACGAAGATTAAGGGCCAGCAGGTGGAATGGTAGTGGGGTGGCTAGATCCCACAAAGCCAACTTCAAGGTTTGAGTCCTGAACCCAGCAGCTTGAGAAATATATCAAGTGCATGTGTGTGCATGCCCAGAACCCCAGGAAGAGGGGAGGAGAACAGACTGTGGTATGGTCATCTCATGGGGGGGTGACTTTCACTTTCCCTCTCTGCCTCTCTTTGGTGAGCGCACATACTCTATAATAAAAACTTTTTTTTTTTTAAAAAAAAAGACAATTTCTGAAAATTTTGATTAACTGAGATGCATATCTATTATACACAATAAAGTATACTATGCAGAGTCTAAACTGTTACATTTCATCCTTCCTATTAGCAATTCTAAGTCCTTAAAAAATAATTATATTCATGTTCTTTGCATATTCTAGAGTACACAGAAAACACATGAACCCATTTTATAGAGAGTAAAACGTTATGGACTGATAAATTGCATAATGACAAGAGTCAGCTATAGAACAGTGACCTATATGTCATCTCAATTATTTTTCTCCCACTCACAAACTTTAATTTTAATCTTCATATGAACAGCTCTGAATCACACACTAATTTGTTTGAATCCCCTAAGTCTTGCTATAAATATCCCTAAATACAAAATAACAACAAAAATCTGTAACATCAAAATAAACTACAAAATAAGATTATTTCTTAAAAATGTGAAATAAGAATGTCTTATTTTATGAGAAACAGGTAAGTCTCTATGAAGGTAACCAAAAACATTATTTTCTCTCTTCTCAATATATTCTTCATGGAACAGCAATTGATCAGATCTTCTCAAAGAGTGTATAAGAAAGACTGTGCTGGAGAAAGTGGGGGAGGGGGCTCTCAATAAGTTTAGAAATATACAAATTTCTCCTGCCTGGCACAGGCCAAGTATCTGCTTTACAGACAGAATGTATGACCTGAAATGTTAGGCTGCTGGAAAAGTCATGATGCCTTTTTAAATGTTTTTTCTATGCAAAAATGTGTCCTAATTTTTCAGACAACCTAACAGAATCTATATGAAGATAGAGATTCCTCCGAATAGAGAAAGATCCAAAATAGATGAACCAAGGGGTTCCCAAACGTGGACTACGTTTTAACATAAAATTTACCTTACTGTTAAATGTACTCAAAACACAGGTTAATCGGTTGCTCTTTCACTCTTT